ATATCGCCTGCAGTTTTTAATTATCTGGAGCATCCGTGCTTGCTCTGCGGCCATGCGGACAACTCTGTAAGGCATTGGCTCTGCGAATGCCCTGTCATTACGCACTCTGCGCGATTGCTTGGACTACAACAGCCACTAGTGCTTCAGGGGCGAGTATTGCCCAAACATGCCGCGTCTTCGCTAGAACTTATCGCTTCTGCACGGCGCTATCTCAGAGAGCTTGGCGCAATGTGGACCCCGGGTTGGACTCCGCCGTCAAAGATCCATGACTGCGGACCCCTGGAGCATGCAATCAAAATCGCGACCGCCGCCTATTGGGGGGCGCCCGCCCGGTTCCGCTCGGTCTATGGGCCGCCGGCGGATTCATTGCGCAATGGACCGAGTCACGGCTGCCTTTTTTCCCGCGGCCTCAGTGTATCGGCGCCGGACGCTTTCTCTCGCGTACGCCATCGAGCCACTGGTCAGCAACCGGCTGTTACTACTGCCGTCGATTTTGCTGAGGGCTTCTTTGTGGCTGTACTCGACCCCCATGCAGTGGAGGTTGGGTTGCTCTACCTTGCTCATTCGGTTGCGAAACCGAATGTCCGTGTCGAGCACCGCCTTTGCACCTGCGGCCGAATTCATGCTTTCGTCACTGCGCTATGTAGCATTCCTGCAGGTGCTTACCTTACTGCCCATGTGCAGCGGTACCCCGCGGATGCACTGTATGTCCAGTTTGATGGAGGATGCAAGCGACACTTAACAGCTGGGGGGGCGGGCGTAGCGATGTGGCATCAAGTCGTCACCGGCGCGGCGGACATTACTTTCTCATTGCCTTTACCTGACTGTGCAGATGCCTACGAGGCCGAGGCGGAAGCGGCAATACTAGCGGCGATCCGGTCATTGGAATACGCGCTTACCCTCAGGGGAAGGGGGGTATCAATCCGAGTCGTTCATATACAGGGAGATAATCTTGCCATAGTCGCTTACTTAGCCGGATTCGGCCGGCTCCGCCGGGTTAGCTTAGTAAAACGCTTCCAAAGCGCATGGGACGCCCTAGCCAGGTCTCACATTCGGGTAGAGTGGGAACAAGTCCCCCGAAGCTCCAACACGGTTGCGGACTCGCTTGCCGGAGAGGCGCTTGAAGCGGCTATCCTTTTACAGTCTCATTCCCTTGTCCCAACGACTCTCTATGTCAGTGTTTTTGATGCCCCGCCATCGGTCTCCCCGCCTACGGCGGGACTGTCCGCTGCGGTTTTAGCGGCGTTACAACCTTGTGCGCGCCATTGGACCGGTCTGCAACTCTCCATTACGCTGCAGCAACTGCAGGAAAGCAGGGAGGTAATCTCATTGCCGGAGCCGGAGCCCTTGCACTTCCCCCATGTTGGTCGAGCTCTAACTGTGCTTGGGCCCCACCACTTAAGGGGCATACGAGCCCTGCGTGATCTCTGGCAGGCCTTCCCTTCTAGGACACTCGTTGCCAATGACTATCACCGCAGCTCAGCCGCCCCACAGGGCCGCTACTACTGTCGAGCCGGAATTTCACATCTTACACGACCTATGCGCCTTCTGGCGCTCGGACCGCAATCTACTGAAATTGATCTCGTCGGCGCGCATTATGAGGCGTTACGAGCCTTGACCATTTCCTTGGGACAGGCTAACTTGCTTCTGCCAGTGCAGCAGGCTAGCGGAATCCTTGCACGAGGCTGTCCGTCCCAAGGCCGTGCTTGGGCCACACTGTCGCCCAAGCGACTCCTCAATTACACTATTAATAGCTCTGCGGCCAAAGCCATAGGGCAGCTGCATCAAGGCGGCCTCTCTTTCGCCTCGGCAGCGGCAAAGAACGTTCTGTACGCCATAGATGAGGCGAAAGCTTACCTTGCCGCTAACATGCATCGACTGCAATGGTACCAGCGAGATCAACGATCCACCTCTCGCAACTGGGTTTACTTCATGCTTGAGGCAGTTGAGAGCCGACTGGCCAGAGCGCTGCTCAGCTCGATGCTACCTGATGTGGCGCAAGGGGTAGTATGGCTCCACGATGGCGTGTACGTCAGAGACACAGACAATGCAGTCCGTGTGCCAGTGCTGCAGCAGGCTGTAGCAGCCGAACTCAGTCAGGTCCTTAGTGAGGCGACTGGTAGTGTGACACGGCACTTGCCCAACCCGGAGGAACTCGTACGTGTGACGGATCTCGCCAAGCCGCACCAGGAGCTTGTCACATATCTTGCCCTCGACAGCCTCCAATCCCGTCCCATCCCCGTTGCACCACGACGTCCCACTGGAAGGGGACGACGGGCCCGCCCATTTCCTGCTTCCGAGCACGCTGCCCGCCGGGCGCACCTCAAGCGCACAGCGGCCCAGGAATTGGGCACAGCAAAGCGACATTGCGTCGGGCTCCACGCCTTCTTCCGAAGAGCAGCAAGTCTGTGATCGCTACAACCCCGTATTAATCTAGGAGCTGGTGTTAGCACTTACACAGCTCGAGAGCAAAGAACGCCCTCTTCCATTCCTCCAACTGTCCGCGTTTTTGCGCACGCCCGGCGGGGGGGGAGGGGGGGGTTGGCTTTTCCTTCTCTGTGCAGGGCTAGTTCTTCGCTCACCTAGGCTCTGCCTTGACTTCTTGCCATTGCGATCCTTGTCATGCGGTTATGGTTTGTACTTGGATGCGTGCTTCGCTGCATTTCGGGCTCGATAGGCTTAGCCTCGGGGAGTAATACTACATCCCGCCTTTTCCGTGGCGCCATGGAACAACGTGAACTCATTCCAATTCGAGTGGGTAGTACCCCATCGGAGCTGTGCAACACATTGCTCCAGGGCCTACCCAGCTGGATCGAGGACGTACCTGTCTTGGCGTATGCTACACCACCTATTGCTATCTCCGCGGATGAGGTGTTACGCGAAGTTGGCCTGGCTTTTGGCGTAGCCTCAGTGTTCCTGGAGCTACGAGACTCAGCAGGGCAGGTTATGGATGCGGTTTTCTGTCCCAGCTCCACCTCTGTCTGCGCTCTTATTCCCAACCTCTCGCCTCTGAGGTGGGTCATTACGGTGGACCTCTATTTGGATCGCTGCGATGAGCAGGCGGCTTTGGAGGTAATGTTGCATCGCGATGTCCCCCCGCTGGAGGATGAAATATGGGATGACACACTGAGATGTATACTGGAGGAACACTTTGTGCTAATTGCCGCTCTTGTTCGCCGTGGTCGTCTATCGGCTCATCGTTTTTTACCGAGCCGCGCAGATATCGAGTATCGTATACCAATGGTGACGTATGTGATCGACTTGCCAACCAACTGCATGGCCGCGTTACTTGCTTTACGAGCCAATGCTAACACACCCGACATGCGGGGGCATACGCCCCTTGCATATTCAGTGCTTGCTAATTCGCACTCGTGCACTGGCCTGCTATTGCAGGCGACAGCGGCGCTGGATCCGCCAACAGGATATAACCCTTTGCTTCTGGCGGTTGCTCGTGGTCACCGTATCATGGTGAATGCACTGTTACATGCGCGAGCATGCCCGCACACAGTGGCACAGCATGGCAGCTTACGCGGGATCTCACCCTTCGAGCTTGCTTGTCAGTGGGTGGATGAAGATGTCCTCCGTGCTTTCCGTCTCTACGGCCATGAAGTCCCCCGTGCGGCGGGTATATACCCTCCTACGAAGACGGTGCGGTTTGCCATAAGCGGCCGCGAAATTGGACGTAGCGAAGCGGGGGAGGACCATGCCAGCCTGATCCTGCATTGTCTGCAATGGCCAATGGCGGGCCTAGTTGCCCATGAATTGGACGATGAAGTTTCCATCGTATACACGTTCAATCGGCCCTCACAGGCTCTCGGCCTTCGGCGTGCTTTAGCCAGTGGCAGTCTCGCCACGGCGATGCACACCCTGGAACTGCACTCCTGCCTGTTGGAAATGCAGGAACCCACGGTCTGGGGCGAATTTGGCCTCCCTATCTATTATACTATCAGCCGGCAGCTTGGCGGTGCTCTAGCAACTCTGCTGCTTGCTCGAGCCTCGCCCAATGCTCAGGCCTTGAGCTCTCGCGCCCGCCTGACTGTGCCACTGCAGTACGCCATTCGTCTTGGCTCCTCCGCCACCGTTGTTCAGCTCCTCGAAGCGCGAGCACACGTCCACACCACGGGCGACCTGGGGAACCCCCCTTTACATGTGGCTGCGGCGCTACGCAGTGCCCCGCTTGTGGCATTGCTGCTGGAGTACGGGGCTGGCCTAGGAATGCAGCTGAGCGATTTACGGCCCATCGTGGCCAGCTCTTTTTACCGCTCTGGCTACGGGCGTGACACGTGTCGTGTGGCCGCCCTTCTTCTCCGTTGCGCGGGTGCGGTCCCACACCATGAAGCGGTATTGTTACCCTACTCGTCTTCCATGCTTGTTAAATGCGCCGGTTACTAACCTACATGAAAAGTGAGGCGGTTGCGTCAAAGAGAGTTTTTTGGGGAAGTTTGGAATGTCCCAGCAAGCAGTGGCGAGCACTAGGATTTTTTGCCACACGCCACTGTGCAACAGCCGATTTTGGAGGTCACGGACTGTTTCCTTAGATCCAAAGCATGGTTTGGGGACAAGAGATTCGGAGTCAAACAAGCGACCGAAGCTGTATATTTGCTGAAAAGACTCAGCAGCAGCCATCATGACATCCATCATTCTGGATGCCTAGGCATGATGAATCAGCTGGGCAGAGCACAGGAAGCCCAAAGAAAACCACTGGCAAGCACATAAACAGTCAGATTAAATTTGTAGGGGTTGGAGAATCACGCAGAATTGTTTTGCAATTATGCGGCTGGACTGCATCACGATCAGCGATTCCATCCTCGATCGCGCGCTCGCCTAGGCTGCTTGAGGGTCTTGAGATAAAGGAAGGATCTCTATGAAGGCTTGGGGATTTCATTTACTTGAATTTGCACCGGTGCTACTGCTGGTGTTGCTGATGAAGGACACACAAGTGAGGGCTTATATTCCCAAGGGTTCAAGTTTATGCAACGTACGGGGCTAGAGTCGATATATTATATATATATGTGCATATATATGAATATATTGAGTTCAGGGGCTAGGTTTGGGAGAGATCGGGTACTACAGGGCTCAAGTGAATTTATGTAGCCGAGCATCTGATTCAAGCGACGTTTTGACGCCACAATCTTCAGCATACCCATGCGCAGAACCCAGCGATTGAAAGCGCCAGGTTTGCGAGGAGCACGCAGACTGACCCCTGAGATATCTGATGCTCAGGATTACTAATAAAATCACTCCTTTCCAGAAACACCAGAAAAGGGCTGCTAGGGTTTCGGGCTTAGGGTATTAGGGTTCAGGGTTTAGGGCTTATAAGGGTTTAAGGCTTTAGGGCTAATTAGGGTTTAGGGCTTATATTAGGGCTTATTAGGGTTATAATGGCTTCAAACTGAAAAGCACCCCTCGACTTCAACTCATAATGGAAGCTCAGGTACTCTTAAGCCATCCCATAGCATCCTCACCAGTGAAGCAGTGACTGTAGCGCGCATTGCAGCCTGAGGGTCCAACATGCCAATACATGTGTTTAATTAGCATGGATCTCCGGCTTTAATATATATATATATATAACATCGTGGAAGTTCGAAGCAAGAATCGCCATCTCCGGCTTTGGTCCAGGATGTGAAGCATGGCCTCACCAGTTGCCCAACTGCACATTCTAGAGCACAGCTCACAGCCACTTGAAGTCAAGTTGCATGGAATTTTGGTTTCAGAACCCAGGCCAGGATCTTGAGCCTCAGGGAACGTTTGGAGGGCCAGTTGTTTGGGTATACCCTTAATCCTACAATGAAATCACCCAAAAAGTCATAGCCACAGGAAGAAACAATATTATGCCAAGGAACCGATGGGAAACTTGGGTCAGTTGTAGGTGGCACTTTAGAAAAAGCATTCCATTGTCGTAAATTTCATCGCTTTGGGCCGGCGTCCTAAGCACGAGTCTAGGAATTATAACCTGCCGAAAAAATCAAACATATATACGGTTTAATAAAGCATCTGATCACTGCCATGGAAGCTGCAAGAAACGCTTCGCCGCTTCATTGCAGCTGAACCACTTCGAGAAGGCGGTCCTAAGCTCCCCGGATGAAATTTGTGAACATAATACGGGTGCCCGAGAACCGCATTCCTTTTCAGGGTTTGGGAATATATCAGCAGAGCTGCAGGGCCATGGCATGCAAGCGTATGCTCGGAGTCGCAGCTGCATGCTGGGCAACATCTTGCAATTTGCTTGCCAACCACAACATCACGATACGGGCATTGTAGGCCTTCGTTGTCAAGTAGTACCCATGCACCTTCTTCAGAAGATGGCGTGGCGCGAATGACCGCTGGGAGCATTGTACATTGTTGGCCCGGCGCCAGACCTGAAACTCCCGGTATGCACTTTCCAACAGCTGCTTCATATCTCCAGGTCCATTGTAAGGCCCGAAATGGCCCTCGCGCAGCAAAGCCTCCCTAGGTTGTTGCATTATAATATTCCAAGAACCCATAATTCACAAAAGCATTGGATGGGGTTGAAAAAGCAATGCATAATGACACCTGGGCACAGTGCACCACCACTCGCCGTGTGCACCAAGCCCAGATTGCAGACGTGCATGCTGCAGAACTTCACCATGGAGACATCGAAGCCCGTCAGCAGAGTCAGAGGGCCTCATAGGACTGGTGTGCATTTGGGTTTGCGATCCTTCATTAGGAATTTTCGAAGGTCTGGATGGATCGAGCTTCGTCACACGCAAACTTTAATGTAATAAGCCAAGATACTCACCTGCCCAGGCCGAATTGCAGACTGAAGAAAAGCGTTCGTGTTCAGCTGTGCACTTCGCCAAGCAGCGTTGTCGTCCATATTGTAGTAACGAAGAGGACCGTCGGACGCTTCGGCATCACACAGGAAGCAACACTTCTTCGACACAGGGGTTCGCAGCAGGCGCAATGTGCGCTCATGCCACTTCCAATCACCCCGTAGCTCAGCGCACACCCAGCGAGCATCACCCGAGAACTTTTGGCCCGCCTTCTCGGATTTTTTACCAGTCAAAGCAGAGCCAGTTCTCGACATCGTTGGATATGTTCCTGCATAAGCTTGCTTGCAACTCCAAACGATGTGCTCCAAGATCGGGGTCAGCGTCTTGAGCTCCTCATGGACCATGCAAGCATCTTGTATTGCCGCAAGCAGCCAGATGCCCTGCCGAGCAGCCTTCGGCTTGAACAAGGTCAGCTGAAGAAAAATTCCAGTGACCTTGTCCTTGGGGTCCTTCCCCAATGTCAGCTCGTCCCCATATAAGGTGAATGGAACCATGCAGTCCAGGTCGTTCGCAGCAGCAGGAAAGTTGTATACAAAGGGGTTCCCATTCTCGCGTAGATGATTCCAGTAAGCACGAGTTTTGTCCTTTGGACACTGAAGTTTAACTTCGGTCTGAAGATAATCCAGAATCTCGTGTACATCCATCACCGGAATGGTAGTTTGCACCTGCCGGCGCTGTCCTTCAAACCCCTCGTAGATTGTCACTTCCACTTCAGTTGGTACCTTGGGCTACGGGCTTATTTCAAGTATATATCCCCAAAAGTTGTATTATGGCTTATATAGGTAATTACAGGGGGGTTATCGCAAATCGTGATTGTGATCTGCAATCTATTCTAATAACCGTCCCCAAATCCAAATGTAGTTATAAAGTATATACATAACATCCTGTCCAGGGTTCGAGAGGCACATCCACGTTCTTGAAGAACTCCCTCGCATCATTGCCAGGTCGATAGTTCACCAGTTTCGACATAAGCTTGCCCTTGAAGTGCTTTCCAGACTCCTGCATCATTTTACAAGTACCGCACCAACTCAATTGCAAACTGGAGTCCTACGTTTAAAATTGGGTAGCTGTATAAGATCAGAATTATAGAAGCCCTCCTCGTAGCTCGCCCGGGCATTGTGCATCGCAGAACCAACCGTCTCAGCCTCAGGATCCATACATTCCAAAGTGCACTCATGCCGATGCTGCCATAAGCCCCTTGGCTACAGGATTGCGGGGTTTAGGTTTTAAGGGTTTAGGGTGGAGGGTTAAGGGTAGAGGGGTTGTCGGGTTTTATGACAAGCGTCACCATTGGATACCCTCTCCAGGATATTCTGCAGTAGCCCATTGGCAGCATCGCCATCGTTATCATCTGACCCTGGCATGAGTCGGACATTATTACCTAGGATCTTCGAATCCGTACTCACCTTCATGATCACAGTACATCCGAGCTCTTTTGAACGGTGGCGAAAGATCCCCAAATCCACACGGCACTCAACAGAGCCTATGGAGCAACACGAGCGCTAAGCTGCAAAATGTCTCTACCCCCACACACACCTGAAACAATCATGTCATGTATCATGCAGTAGGATTCTGTCGCATGGATGCACTTTCCATCCAAGGTGTGTGTGCTTCCGCGGTGACAAAAGCTGCATCTGCTCGGCTGCCCCCTGCCGCTGGCTCCCGGTGATTCATGATGCTTGTGCTGACTGGGCCCTGGCATGTACTATAGCTACCCTACTGCAGGGCTACTGGGTTAGGGGTTGAACATAATTATTATTATAGTCGGGTGTTCGGGCTGTTCTTGAAGAGATGTGTGGCTAGCCACGGAGGTCTATACATGGCATTTGGAGATTGGATATAGTTAGAAGAAGTATTCGGGATCTTGAGGTTACGAGGCGTACTGCTACAGGACCTCGAGATTGAGTCCTGATCAACAGACACCACCCCTCCCCAAAAAATGCCTGTCAGGGTGTCCCACTAGAATATATAGTTTTTGGTACAAATAAAACATCACCCTGATTACACCCTCGAATCTTGAAGCATATAACCACGTTGGCAGCCGCGGCTGGTGGTTGTTTGATGAACTTCGCTTCGTCTAGGGATTAATAGCTTTATTATATATAATTGGTTTGGAAGTCAGAGATGGTTTGGAAGTCGGGGTATATAACTGCGGTTTGAGTTATATGTATACTAGCTATAGGATTTGACCGGGTTGCAACATAGTATGGATCTATCAGGGGTTGCACACCGTCAATCATTTAAATTCTAATTAACTTATAAGACTTATATAAGTTTAGAAGTTAAATGATTGACGGTGTGCAACCCCTGATAGTAAGAATATTATATAATTAATGTAGAAGGCCAGAACCAAATGACACATGCAGCCTGGAGCCTCGCTAATATAGTCATGGCCACGTCTACGCCTACACGGGCCTACACGGCAGCTAGATATAACTTTCGGGGGCCAGTTTGTTGCAGGCACATGTGCAAAAGGCCAAGGTTATCCCTGGCTTCGATCGTGATCAAAATCCGCCAGCAAGCATCTTGAGCATAATACACTACAACAGCTTATATATCGGATCAACGAATGCAGCATGCATCTAGAACGATGAACCACGTATGATGCATAATATGGCTCACTTCTTCTTGCCGGCTTTGCTCTTCGCCTCCCCTTTCGGGGTCTTAGAGCGGCTCTGGAAACTCTTGTGGATCGCATCAAACTGTTCACAAGCAGCCGTCAAAGCTGCGATCGAGTCATCATCGACCTGACATTTAAGTATGGCGGCTTGGTTCCGGGCATTTTTGTTGTGTGTGTGTGTGCTTGAAGCTGCCCGGGCAGAACTTGGGAAATAAAGGATTTTGGAGGTTGTCTGCCGTTGCAACTACGGGGTGTTCAGGTAAATTCCGACTTCGGGGATAGCAGAGGCAATGTGGACCTATGCTATTGATTTATATACCTCCTCAACAAGCCATCTAATTATGGATTTTTAAAACCCCTTATAACTATATAATTCAATCTTAGAAGAATTGCCCTTTAATATTGCAAGTGTCTGCCGAGGGCTGCATGACAGTCTTCAAGCTTTAATTTGCTGAAATTGCATGCGACATGGGGATGAAAGCCTTAAGCATACTATTGCATACTGGGTTTCGGGATGTTACATTCATTCTGATGAGGATGGCCGATACAAGACCACAGCACACATGATTATATGGATGATATAGCAACAAACGTACAACAACAACCTGCGAGACCTCATACCTGATCCAAATACACAGATCATTGCTAAACCCGGGGCAGCACTCACCCTGTATCTCAGGCATATGGGCAGCCTCGTCGGTGTCCACACCCGTCTGCAGCACTGCGCGGGCTGCTTGCACTTTGTTCGCCTGGCTGTGGCACGATTGCATATATACAGTTGAACCAAGACGAGCCTATACAGCTACCACCCTGTGAAGCCAACTTGAGCACGAAACCCCAGATTAAACCACACCGTGAAAAGGGGCCCTATAATACTCATTGATTGCTGTCGTCGGGTCCTCTGCATCGACATCGCGCTTCATTGCTTCGAGCAAGTGGTCGCCCCTGGTCATGAGTATATTCGCACACTAGCTTCATCATGAGCTGCTGATCGTACATTCTAGTTAGGTTCTCATGCCACGCAAGCGGCATCCCCTCCACAGACGCTTCTTTGCGAAGATTGCTTGCGATCTTGATCTTCTCCGTGGCTTTGATTATGGCCTGCAGTAGCAGAGGGTTCTATCGCGATCGCTATATATGTATATATATATACATAAATATAAAAGCGAATTATAATTAAATAAATATATATATATATATATATATATGTGTATATACATATAGAGAGAAAGAGGTGCGACAGTATTCTTAAGAAGAACCTCTAATTATATAGCCACTATTGCATTGAAGCCTTGTTGGCTTTGTTCTTCCGCTCGGCCAGGTTTTTCTTCTCTTCCTCCTCCGCAGTCATCTCCTGCACAAAGGTCTTAGGGGTAGAAGGGTTTATGGAGTTTAGGGAAGTTTTATGGTGTAGAGTAATTCAGAGTGAGGAGCCGAGATATGGACTCCCCATCTGCAGCTTTCCTCCGCTTATTGCTTAAATCGAAACCCCAAACCAGAAATCCTAAATCTTAAAGCCTGAACCCTTTATAAAACCCGAAACCCTTTTAAAGGAATCCCAGAACTACCTCTCTCCTTCCTACCGAACCCTATATAAAGCCCTAAGCCCCCAGAAACCTAAGCCCTAATGCCGAATAAACCCTTACATCTAATTCTCTTTAAACCATATAATATAAGCCCTATAGATCCCTTAAAGGAGCTCTTAAAGGGACCCTATAATAGCAGGCCCTCCGTCGGCAGTACGGTGTAGGGCTTATTAATTATTAGGGCCCGACAAGACCCTACAAACCCTATACGGCACCTACAGCGTCGAAATTCTGCTTAAGGCTCGCTATATTCCTAGGAAACCAAAACCTTCATCATAATTATTTGCCCCACCTTGTCTTGCGCCTTCGCCTTTCCTTTGGCCTTCGCTTTGGCTTTTGCCTTGGGCTTTTTGGGGCTTGGGGTGCCTTTGTCCTTCTTTGCCTTCTTGGCTTTCTTCTCCTTCTTCTTCTTGTCCTTCTTTTTCTTTTTGGGCCGCGAATCATCCGAGTCGCTGGAGCTCGAATCTTCTGGGCCGGCTTCGAAGACGCATTCCAGCTCTTCCATATCCACATCTTCTTCGCTCGAGTCCCACAAGCAAAGATATTGTTTGAGGTCCTGCACGGGTAAAAGGAAAATGGAACATCGAGTGATCGTTTACTAATAACTTGCATGAGTGTCCCAGATCATTACAAAATGATCCGTCCTCCCGATGCGGCAATTCCGGATGCGGCCGGATCTCAGTGAGGGACCTTTCCTCGTCCGCCTCCTTCGATTCGATCATTGCTTCTGCAACTTCTGTTCCCCACTTGGCTTCCATTTCAGCCTTGGTCAACCATCGGCGAAGGCCACGCTTGGCGTTGCTGTTCTTGGATCTCAGTCTTTTAAGAAGCGAAGACTTCATCCAGCACTCTTCCGATGTCAACCAGCTCTCGAAAAGAAAGCTGCGCTTGCTGCTATCACCTTTTGCTTTATTTGAGAGCTTCTTGATCTCTTTCGGACAGTTCGGAGAGTCGAACGACCTGTAAAAACGCATGTTCCTCGCATGCAAGCGCTTCCGCCTTTCCTCTTTCGTCTCCGGCACCTTCTCCTGCTCCTCTACCTCCTCCTTTGCATCCTCCTGCTTCTCATCCTGCGCCTCATGTTGTTCATCTTGCTTCTTCTCATTTGTTTTCTTCCCGGCTGCCTGTGTACAGCAGCAGAAGTTACAACAGTTTATAAAGGACACACTAAGCAGCCAATATAATTAGCCAAGTATATTGGAACACAGGGATATAGTCGTATACGCGTAATCTGTATAGTATGTATTGCACATGGACCAACCTGCCTCAGGATTCTCTGCAGCTGCCGTGCCGCCTGCCTTTTTCTTCTGCTGCTCGGCATCCACATGTTTGACAATCAACTGCAGCTCTTCCATGGATAGTTGGTCCACGGTATGACCACGTTGCAAGATACTTTGAACTCTGCTGGCTTCGGCATCTTCAGGCTTAGGCTTCGCTTCATTTGAGGGATTTCCCCAAGAGCTCCAAGACCAGCCGGATCCTCGAGAGCCCCAGTCCCTATTGTAGGACCACGAGGACCACGAGTTGCTAGGTTGATCCCAATCCCAGCCCCACTCATCACTGTAGCTGCGATCACTGGTCCAGGTGGCGCTGCTGTTGACTGACCATGCGCCGATGGAGTTGGCCTATGCAGGGGCTTGGATCAAATATTATGTATGTATATGCATGTGTGTATATACGTGTATGTATATGTGTATGTATGCATCTACGTGTGTGTGTGTGTGTGTGTGTATGTCTGTGCATGCATGCATGTACATGTATGTGTGTACATGTGTATATGTGTACGCATGTATGTATGTATATATACATGTATATAATATCTATATCTATACCTATATATATAATATGTATAGGTTTATGTATACGTGTTCATGTATGTACATGTACACTGTATGTGCGTGTATCCCTCAGGGTATATATGTGTACGTATATGCATGTATGTATGTCTGAAGTTTGTTCTTATATACGATATAATGATTACACAAATATGTAGATAGGTAACATCTAAATACGTCATATGTTATTATGACATATATATATATATAGAGAGAGAGTATATATACATTCGTATATATATATATATATATACATATATATAATGGGTATACACGTGCGTGTGTGTGTTTGTGTGTGTGTGAATGTATGCGTATATAGTACGCAAGCCTAAACCCTATAATTGAATCCTCAATTATAAAGCCCTAAACCCTTATGAGCCGTATTATGAACCCTATAAACCTTAAACCCAAGGACTCAACCCCCAACCCTATAACAAGCCCTTATTCTAAACCCTTTAAAGCCACTGGCTTGCAACGTCACGCCAGGACAGCTGACTCGCTCCGGGCTGCGCCCTTATAAACCCTTCACCCTTAAGAACGCTATAAACCCTAATTTCAATTACCTAGGACTGCATGAACCCTAAACCCTACCCATTATCAACCCAAATCCTTAACCCCATATAAGCTTAAGAATATAAATCTTAAACCCAAGGACTCAACTATAAACCCTATATATTATAAACTGTATAAACCCTAATTATAATTATGAACCCTTATAATTATAAGATAATAATCCTTAAACCCTTATAACCTATAATTGTGGCCATCCAAGGCACCGTGTCCGATCTTTGGAGCCAATTCTTCGGCTTCGAAGAGGACGCTGGGCCCTGCACATGGTCATATATATATAATTATACAATGATGATGCACATGGCTTCAACAAAAAGAAAGGCCTGAGAGACTGGGGATCCGCTTCTGCGTCGCTTCCCACTGCAAGGAGTTGTTGACTTGGGGGTCTCGCCGTGCTTCTCTTCTGCTGCCTTCTTCTGTTTCGGAGTCCCGGTGTGCTTCTCTTCTGCTGCATTCTCTTTGGGAGTCCCGGTGTGCTTCTCTTCTGCTGCCTTCTTCTGTTTCGGAGTCCCGGTGTGCTTCTCTTCTGCTGCATTCTCTTTGGGAGTCCCGGTGTGCTTCTCTTCTGCTACCTTCTGCTTGGGAGTCTTGCTGCTTGGCTCTTCTGCTGCCTTGGCTTTGGGAGTCCTGTGGCTTGGCTCTTCTGGTTGCTTGGCTTTGGGAGTCCTGCGGCTTGGCTCTTCTGGTGCTGCTTTGGGAGTCCTGCTACTGGGCTCTTCTGCTGCTGCTTTGTCTTTGGGAGTGGCTGGCTCCGCTTCTGGTGTTTTCTTGGGAGTCTTGCTTGCCCTGCGCTTGCGCTTTCGGTGGCTGCTGGGGGTGGTCTGCATTGATTCGGCCATGGGGCTGGTTGGCAAAGTAGGTGGCAAAGTAGCCTCTGGGGGAGCCGTCTCCTCCTGAACATCAGCAACTCCAGCTTTGCTAATCCCAGGGCTCCGGTATTCCTGCTTGCACAAACGTGGTTTCGGGGTTGCAGCTTCACACTTCACTGGCTTTGGCTTGCTCTTGGGGGCTGCATCTGCATCCTTTGCTGGCTCGGGATCTTCTGCAGGCTTTTCCTCCTCCAAGTCCGTCCCTTTTAAAGCCCTCTTCTTCAGTTCTTCACAAGCAGAAAGCAAGCAGTGCACTCGGTCAGCGGTAGGCATAGACTTGGGATTCATGGCCATGGATGATGACATCTTCGAAGTGTTGTACATACATAAGTAGCCTAGATGGTAGGGGCAGGGATACAGATTATGCTCAGACCCATGCAATCACGAGAGGGCCCATGGCTTGAACACGAAGGAGAACTGTCATGCAGCATTGTCCACACGTGGATTTCCGGAGCAGATCAGATCCTACCCCGAGAGTCACGCCAGAGTCACGCTAGAGTCACGCGAGAGTCACGCTCCTCTAATACTATTGGTATACTATAGTTACGGAGAGTCACGCAAGAGTCACGCCAAAGTCACGCGAAAGTCACGCTACCCCCTTCATCCCAAGATCAACTAAAAACGCTTTGAAATGATCACTTGATTGTAGCAGTTTCAAATACATTGCCCATCCAGTAGCCCTACGGACCCTCCCACAGAGACCGACCCTGCAGACTACTCCTACGTGATCCAAGGATATATTGGAACTGCTGGATCTGTGGCGGCCTGCGGCGGAGCCTTGATAGCAGCTGAGACTTTTCCATTGGATGCTGCCGCAGTCACTCTAGAGTGAATTGGAGGCCTTGCACCAGAAGTCTCAGGGTGTCTGTGTGTGTGCATCTACACAGCGCAGGCTTTCAATTAATTGGGTTTCGAACCGAATTGGGCCGTCTCTGTTGAAATATACACCTGAATATTGTGGGTGGTTCTTGGCTGCAAGCTGCAAAGATTCACAGCACAGACATATGCAACCTAATAATAATCACAGAGGCAATAACGGTTCGTAATTCCCAGCTGCTTGTTCAGCTCTGAGGAACTGCATCAGATCTTCCACGGCTGCGTGCTGCCAATCCAATGGCGGTGCAACCTGGGCACAAGTAGGAACCCATGAATATAAATTACAATATTATATTAGTCCAAAGCCTCAGACCCAGAAGCCCTATCTTCGAAGCACGGAGCCCATAATACTTTCCAAATCCAAGCCCCAACCACAAACCCCAAGCCGAAGAGCCAAGGGAGAGGATCGGATGGTTCGGGTTTGCAGTTTCAAGCCTTCGGGTTACGGGTCCCCTGGGTTTTGACTTTAAGTATATAATATATAATGATCGACCAGAATCTTAGATCAAATATATGTATATATATATATATATTCATATGTTTACTATTATATTATTATTGAACAAATATTGTACTATATCTATATATATATGTATATATATATATATATATATATATATATCCGTAATAAGAGAAAACTAGCATGACACCTTGTATAATCTTTGGGCCTTTGGTTGAACTGTCGCATTTGGGTGTGGGGTGCTATTCACAGCCGAGTAGCCTTTTCTTGCTTTGCAAGTTTCAGCAACCCCGCAGTCATCTTCTGCTTAATGAGCCTCGCATTTCGGTCCTTAGCAGGTTCACTGTACGATTGGTTCTCGATTCACGTTCCCAGTACATACATGAATTGCGCAACCAAGCATCACGAGACTTCATGTGCAACTTGAATACCTTTCTGCAAAATCTTTGCGGGTACTCCTGCGTGCTCTTGAGTTTCTTGTCACCAGTCCTCACATTGAAGGACAACTGATCATATATATATATATATAATGATGACTCCGAAAACCCTAGAATTAATTGTAGCCACGCAGCACAGCAGTTTTTCCTCCAACCTTCCTGCGTGTGACAACCCCATCCGAGGAAAGCCCCAAACGTCGCCGGCGCACCATCGAAAGTCTTTTGGCCAAACTGGGAATGAAATGCCTCAGCAGCCGCTGGTTTTTTATGAGCAGCCTTGCAAGTATCCTATAGATAGCTTGAAAGCCAGGCACAAGTTGCTGTAGGCCAGTGAGCGCTTGCAACTGAAGTGGCCGTAGGTCCCCATCCAGCTCAGTCCAATTGACAGAATCCCAAATGTGAGGCTGATATTCACATGACCAACGACAGACTTGGAATCCAACTATAAGCCCCTGACAAGGAGACCTTGTGAACTTTCACAGTCGCGGACACGACGTTCATCATGTGCTGAAAGTAGGGCACATGTTCGAGTTTCGAGGACGAAGGCTGCTCGAGCATGAAGAAGGATTGTCGAGCCGTCAGCAGGAGGATCAACAAGCATACCCGAGCTGAAATCCTGAGCTGTGCCCCCCACACATAGGAATGTTGAACCAGCCAAATAATCCAAGGAGCTTGTTGGCAGCCGCCACATATGGGAGCTCTTCGTTACCGAAAGGAGAACTTTCAGATCGCTTTGAGGTTGCTGCATTCATCCACACAAAGGACCCACACGGAAGTCCTATGGTTGCCAGTCCCATGGGCTCCAATTTCAGAATTCCTCGAACAGCTGAGATAAACCCAGTCCTCGGATCACACAGGGTTCATCGGAAGTACTTCAATACAGGGTCGTGTGGATTGTTGGGCCTGGGGGCTTTGAGATAATCGCCTATATTAGGCAAGGAACGTGCTGCAGAGATCATCTTCTGGCCGACAGACATAGTCCATGTAATCACTCAGTTGCATTCAGTTGCATTGTGAGGCTGCAGTACAGCCAAAGCCGCATTGCAAGCTGGTTGCAGTTGATGGGAGCATCATGACATGCATTATTGCTATTATTATTATTATTATATTATTATAACTCTCTATATATATATGTATATACATATTGTATATATATATATATAGATGTGTATGTAGCTATATATATATATATGTGTACAGACACACTTATATACGTATAGCGCCAGCCAGCCACCCACCACCCAACACCCAACCCACCGACCAACCAACCAAGGTTGCAAACAACCAGCCAGGCAGCCAAGCAACCCACCAAACAAACGAACCAACCAAGGGCCTTTCAGCATCCACATGCCTTACCAAGCGTCGAATTCGGTGCGGGCCATTCTCACCGATCACGCACAGACTGTTGGCCGGGTCTGGGGCAGCCATTTGTCACACTGTGCCGACACCGAGCCTTTGGCCAACGCACCCGGCCCGGGGTGTTTGACAGCAGGGCAATGGGCTATCGCGCCTGCTGGGGCTCGGGAGTCGGTGTTCTTTGCGGGCAATCTGCCAAGTGGTGTGCATGGCAATTCATGGGAGGCCTCTGGTTTACCAATGCGTACCGACCCCTCCCCCCTCAAGCCCCAGCCCTCCTCATAGTCATATATATATATATGTATATATATATATCTTCTGATAGCATATATGTGTACATAATATATATAATATATCAATATATATAATATAATTAATATTCTTCTTATAATTCTTTAAATCGACTACACAGATATATGCACGCATGCACATGCACAACCATAATTTGCTTGATGAGTGGCCTGCGTAGCCCAGCCAAGCCTCAGCGGTACATACACATCATATGCTTTTCCCTGTACTATGCTAACTACATTGCAGCCACGGCACAATACTGCCGCTGCATGTTGCGAGACCCAGAGAACATGTCGTAGTGGCTGTTGTCCTGGGCAGTGGGGTGAATTGGGACATGGCTGGGACAGACCCAAGAGGAACCTGAGAGTAGGACTCGAGAGCTCATGAGAGGCGGAGAATTCTGAGCCACATAATCAGCCACGTGTATCCTGAAATTGGAAGCGAATTTAACACGACATTCTCCTGATCACATGGTTTTCTAATTCGGAACCTGAGCCCTGCACAAAGCATCGTGTGCCCCCATCAGTATAAGGAGAGCAGAGGCGGTTGCTGACAGGGCCAGCGGATTGCGCTGCCACGGAAACATGGCGAATTTGGATTTCGAAATTGGGAACGGGGTCCGATGGCAGGTCTTCTGCACAAGTACTCATGTACACGTGTAGTCTTCATAATGCATTCACACTGGGCCCAAACTTCAGAAGCTACGATGACACATGCCAGCACACAACCAATGCTAAAGTCTCGAGATCCGATCCTCGAACCTTTCACATCTCGCGAGTACTGCAAGATTCGCTCTCCCCCAGAACTCTCAAATTAAACAGGGTCGAAGTAGCCCGCTGTGTCGGGTCCCCAAGTAGCAAGCAAGTAAATTGTGGAGGATTAATTAATTAGGCATCATTATGTGAATACATATTTAAATAGAATATAGGAAACAAACACAGCGAGCTCGTGTGCACTATGGATAAGTTTAAAACTGTCCATGTGCGGGTCACTTGCCACGCTTCGCCGTCGGCAAAGGCCAGTATGCCCGAAGCCATCCTGCAACTTTCTTGGCCAAGCGATACCTGAATGATAGTAGCAGTCATGAATCATTCGGTCATAGGTTTCATCAGGAACATGCTATTCACCCTACCTGCAGCCGGGATACTTCTCCTGCGCATCACCTAGGTTGCCCTTCTCCCAGGAGATGTGCACACCAAACTTTTTGTTGGCCTGGAATTCATTATCTGTGACTATGAAAATATAACTATTTGGTTTAAGGGTTCAGGGGGGTTTAGAATTAATTAGGGTTACCAATAAATACTTATCACCAGTTATTGGGTACAACCTGCCTCAATTTCTTCACCATCTTTTCGGTACTTGTTCACGTCTTGCAATCTTTGCTTCGTAACAGGAGACACGTAGAAGGCTCCATTTAACCTGGGCCAATATCGAGTAATGATGCTCTCACCGATCGGAGACATGGTTGACCAACACAGCCAAGGTGCAACACGCCGATCGTGCTGATGCCCAGGCCATCATCATTCTCGAGCACTCTGGGGCCCGGGGCAAGGGTAAAGGACCTCGGGTGAAACCGTGGCTAATGAGAGATATATAGACATCGTGTGTCTCTGTGTGCGTGAGGTTTGTGTCGCAATTCCGGCTAGTCGCGATATTTCCTTGCAATCCATAGGCATCTGCATCGAGGTGTCAAGGATCCGAAGCTGTCGAAGGTCTCTGAGCGAAACCTCTTTTGCCTCCTTAGTTGAATTCGACTTCCTTCTGCAAGACATGCACTGAACAGGCACAGTTTGCACAAGCTCAGAAGCACACGTCTGCCTTGACTTTCCACTGAGGCTTGGGGTTGTTGTCGTCGTAAACCGGCTTGTTCTTTCTAGCTTTGGCTTTGGGCCTGCTCAGATGCGGCGTCCATCCGGTCTGCCGGTAGCAGTGCGCCGGCACTGCCAGTGGCGGCGGTGTCTTTGCCTCCTCGCAAGGGTCTTGGATAATAAATCAGGAGCTCACGACCACTGAGAGAGGGAGTCTCAGAGAGAGAGAGAGAGAGAGAGAGAGAGAGAGAGAGAGAGAGAGAGAGAGAGAGACAGAGAGAGAGAGAGAGAAAGTGACTGAGTGACAGACGAGAGAGAGAGAGAGAGAGAGAGAGAGGCGAGACGGAGAGAGAGAGAGAGAAACAGAACAGCAGCGAAAGCTTGTAATAATATTATAACTATTTATATAGTTATATAATTCTATGTGTTCAACCCTGGGGTATGTGCACGTATGCTTACATGTGTGTATGTGCCCATGCATATATATATATATATATATATGTATCACATTTGCTAATTATATAGATATATATATATGGTTGTGATAATAAGATCATGCTATAATAATATATACGATATATGGTATGTTCAAGGCCCTGGCCTCATCCTCATGGTCGCTTTGCGGAGCTGGCTTCTCCTTGTCCGGGGTTGCATGCTTCTTATTCTCCTTTTTCTTCTCTGCTGCCTTGGCTTTCTTGGTTTTTTTCTTTTTCTTTCTTGTTTCTTGCACCGGTGTCTCCTCCGGCTGGGCAGCTTCGTCCAAACTCTCCCAGAGGTGGGCCTGCAGAGCGGTGCCATCTACTATACTACCATTTCTCACATCTACATCAAGACACACTTCATGCACCTGGGCCCCATCTTCGGCGCATGCGCTTCCCTCCGGCTCTGCATCGAAGTCCAGCCGTCGCTTCACAGGCTTGGCCGGCTTATCCTCCTGATCATCATCCTTGGTGGCCTGCTTGGCTTTGCTTCTAATCCTTTTGCCTTTTGCCTTCTTCACCTTTTTCCCATCGGCATCCTCCTCTTCCCTTTTCAGCTTCTCCTGCTCGCACTCCTCCTCCTTTTCCAACTCCATGGCATCACTCAGGACATCATCATCTTTGCTGCGCTCAATCTCGCACTCTGGCTTGCTTTTTGATTTTGGCTTAGCCTTGGCCTTCTTGGACGCCTTGGCCTTTCCTTTGGGCTTAGCTTTGCCCCGCTTGGGCTTGTCTTCCTTCTCAGCACCATCATCATCATCATCTTCATTTTCCCTTATATTCTTCCTCAGCGTTCGCTGGACCTGGATCAAGTGTAATTAATATTCGTTTAAATCACCCAAAAGAAAATCGCAGCATGATTGCAGAGATCATACCCCCTCTCAGGTTGCAAGACAGCCTTCAGGAGCTCGGGGTTCAAAGGGCCAAGCTGCTTTTCCACATCTTTCACCAAAGCATCACCAGAATCTCGCGCAGGCCTCAACAAAGACCACGGGATATTCGGCAAGGGGATCCGGTCGTTATCCTCCAGGGATCGCAGAATTCGAAACCACTCATCGAATCACAGCTATGCTCATGCAACATGCACATGGATATCACTCCACTCATCATGTACCTCCAAGACCTCTTGCACCTTCTGTTCCTCTGCGGAGACACCCCGGGCGTAGAAAGGCTGGCTGTCTTCAGTCGAGATAGTAGCCTGGACAGGACAGATTCGATCACACAAAAATAGAAATCATGATTCACTGAAATTTGCGGCCTGATCATCATGACCACCCGCAGGAAGACCAGCTGCTGCATCCTCAGCTGGATAAACATAGAAATAAGTATTGCAAGTTGTGACACCCGACCGGCTCTATCTTCAACTTCATCCAAGGTTCAGCAGAGCTTGCGGGACCAGGCTCCGTTTCCTCCCTCTTTTGCCGCTTCTTCTTCTTGTTGCTTGTGGGACTAGAGACCTATGGCCGGGGACATGTTTCATGTTTATAACATGCAGAGCATTTAACACTGCATGCATATCGTGCTGCATCGGTTCGTCCTGCTCCGTTTCCTCCCTCTTTTGCGGCTTCTTCTTCTTGCTGCTTGTGGGACTAGACACCTGGCAGTGGCGAGACGATCACATAACACCATGCTGTACATGTACATGTGTCTCCATGATGAATCGTGAGCCTGATCCATTTCTTCACTCACTGGCCTTGCAGCATCAGGTGCCTGGGCATGGCAACAGCAATATATAGCTTGCATGTTCGAGCAAACCAATCCTCGGCGCACCTCATGATCACACCTCTCGACTTCCTCATGCACAGCTGCACTTTCCAAGTAATCCTGAGGATTGAGCAGAATTGGAACGTTCACTGCATGGATTGGAACATGTGATTCTTCTATAAAACAAACGCATGTACCTCTGGCACTCTTGGACCCGTTGGGGAGCTGGATGGGCGAGGAGCCTCATTTCCAAGTCCAGGGCTACAAAAAAAATCATGCATGTAGACAATCACGAGACCTGCCTTCTTTCCTGTGGAAGTCAGTAGCCTCCTCGCCTTTGGTGACATAGACGGCTTTGGCCTTC